AGGATTGCTCAGAGTCAGAACTGACTCAATAGGGTGTGTGTGTGTGTGTGTGTGTGTGTGTGTGTGTGTGTGTGTGTGTTGTCTTATATATGCAACCTCTCTGTGTTTCTGCCCTTGGCTGTAAAATAGCGATGACATTGCGGGTAGTACTTACCTCATGGGGTTGTTGACGATTCTGCCAATGAGGACCCACAGCTTGATTACCACAGTGCCTAGCACCAAGTAGGTGTTCTGAAAGTATTCACAGTGACCCTGGAAAACTGCTTCCATCTCATTCACTTCGCACCGAGCTGGGTGTAGACAGAGCCATACATGACCAGCCCCCAGAGGTGTCTCTTGCTCAACCTCGGAGTGACTCAGAGGCAGCCACCTGGTGCTAACCACCACCGGTTGTGGTAGTGGTGGCAGCGGCGGGACTACACCACTCAGCAAAAACTTCTGTCTAAGCCAACGACTACCATCTCCTGCTCTTGATGAATAGCCCACACCCCAGGCAACTGCTGGGGGGAGGTGCTATCACACAGTGTGGGTTGCCTTCCCCCGATGCCGCCCTCCAGACATCTGCTTGCGTAGGTACACGGCTCCCTCTGGGTGGCTGGGAACGGAGGCAGGGGAGAGCCCTGGCACCCCGCCCTTTTTTGACTGGGGGGGGGGGAGGGACTTGTTAGGAGAGGGGGGATCCATCTACAGCATTCTAGAGTGGGTGGCAGCTGGCACTCATCCTGGGGACAGACGTGGCAGGGCCTCTCAGGAGTCAGGTCACATGAAGGCCAGCAATTGCATTCTGGCTTCCCCTATTCTTGAACAGCTGGGCCGCCCCCCTTGGAGGCACAGGGTTTGAGAATCAGGGCTGGAGTGGGGCCTCCATCCAGGGAGTAAACGCAGCTGCCTGCAACAGCGAGGGAGGAGAGGGTCAAGTGGCAATGCGAGTATGTGGGTGGCTATAGCGTCCCTGCATGGTTCCAGTAGTTACATCTGACTACTCACTGAGAAGTTGGCAGTTCAAAGCTACCCAGAGGTACCTCGAAAGAAAGGCCTGGTTTAGAAGGATCGCAGCCTGGAGAAACCTACTGGCTATGGCTTCTCCTCCAGAGGGTTCTACTGCACAGAACATGGGGCAGCAATGACCTGGAAAGCACTTAATTGCAATGGGCTTCGTGTGTGTGTGTGTGGGGGGGGGGGAGAGGCTGAGTGGTTCTGTCTGTTTGGGTGTCCACAAGAGCTGCTGTGTTTATTTTCGTTGTGTCTGACTCCCCACTGTCGCACCCCTCTTTTGATGTACGTCTGTGAGTTTGTAGTCAGGGTGAGGGGAGGGAGGTTTTTACTCGACTCTGTCTGTCTGCCTGAGCAGCTCAGTAGCTCAGCAACTCACTCCCTTTGAGAGGGTGGGAAAATATAGCTCACCAGGGCAGGATAGGCCAAGACTATATAAACACACAAATCACATGCATACAAGCCTGAGCTTCCCAGGAAGCTAAGATTTATCACATGTTAAAGAGGGGAGCTGAGTAGTCCGTACCAAGCATGTGATTTCTCTGTGTCTGGTGGGTATGTGTGCTTGTTTATTTGACGTGCTTGTCACCCCGCCTGTCTCAAGGGCAGCTCCCTCTGTCTATGGGCCCACGTTCGTCCATGAGTCTGTGTTTAGCATAGCGTCTGGTCTTTGGAATGGCAAGCGGTGGAATGTCATTGCCACAGGCAGGCCCTGCGAGGTTCCCATCTGGATCTGGCCAGTCTCTCACAAAACTCCAACTCACTCGTCGAGTGGATGCCGACTCACCACGATGGCAGGACAGGGTAGAACTGCGCCGTAAGTTTCCAAGACTGTAACTGTCTTTGTGTTTGCTTTTAACATTAGAATCAAGTTTTATTTGCTCATTTTTTGCATGTGAAATATTCTTCGGTGACATCCTTGCCTTGCAATTCTTAACAACCACACAACTGCAACCAACCACTTTTCAGGGTTTTCCTTCAGCATATGCAGCAGAGAGAAGCCAGGCTGGGCTGTGTTGGCCCTATGTTGTCACCCACTGCCCACTCGCCCTCCATGTACTACTGGCTAGAGGCCCACATGCATACCAGTCCTGCTCTCCTTACGCGCTTATTTAATTACCTTCACAAGCTCATATATGGACAGGGCCTTCAGGGGGCTCTGAGGTTTGCTGCGTATCATGAGAGATGCTCTGCCCTAAATCAGTTTATGAGCTGGCTGACCTCCCCCATCACAGTCACATACCCTGCCCCACAGCGCTCTGAAGTCCCAGGATCCACCCATCCATCCATCCTGGCTTCCCTCATGGTTCAGGGTAGTACGAGATTTTTATCATGGGTGAGATGGGTAGGTACAGGAGTTCTGGTCAATCTACCTGATGGGTTGGTCCCTTCTTGCAGCATGTTGAGGTATGTGTGTGTGACGTCTTCACCACCACCAGGGTACATGTGATGGGGTGTGTGTGTGTGGTGTGTGTGTGTGTGAGAGAGAGAGAGATGAGCCCCGTGCCTCCGACTTGCTCTCCTCCCCCATTTTCCCAGTTATGTAAGTGTCTGAAGGGCGAGTCAGGCCTGGGCTGCGGGCTCCTCCTGCCGGCAGCCTGTGGAACTCACAGTCTGGGGAGGCGCTGCAGAAGAAGCTGCAGTTCTAGGGTGATCTCATCTTTGGAGATTCCTGCTCAGCCCTGCCCTCAGCTCCTACCTGCCTTCCGCTCCCTCCTAGCCCCAAGCCAGACCAGGAGGTTCCGGCTCCAGGAACATCCCTTCCCATAACCCTCAAGCTGAGGTCACTGGCTACTCCCTGAGGGCAGGGCACCAGGTCAGCATCCGGTGTCCAGAACAGGGCCGGCCTGTCAGTAGTTGCTGTGTAAACAGGTGTAGAGGGTGGAGAGACTTGGGATGAGAGACAGTGCTCTGAGGTGGGGAGAGTCCTGCGTGGCTTTAGGCATGGACGGGCCTGGGCTGAAGTCACTCCCTGACCATGTGTCAGCTGTGAAATCTTGAGCATGGTACTCAACCCTTCTGCACCGCAGGTTTCCCCTCAGGTAATGACACCGCCTTACAAAGAGGCTGCGAAGACTAGAAATAAATTCGAACTGGCCTTCATTGTCCAGGCATTCCATAAGCGGTCCTTATTTGCATTACAACATCTTTCATCCTCCCTTCTCCCCAACAACAAGCACTCGAAAAGTATTAAATCTACCCCACTCCCAAACGTGGGGAGCGTAGTTTTCCTCCCGACTTCCCTTCGACTTTCAGTTTTCACACAGCCCAGTCGAGTCTATGGATGATATAAGCCCAGCTGTGATTCTGAGTGGGAATAAATGGGGCTCTTCGGCCCTGCTCTGGGGCCAATCCTGGAAGCACTGGGCATGGAAGTCTGGACCTCTGTTTCCCTTCCCTTCCGGGTCTCTGATATTCCCCTCAGAGCTTCTGTTTCCTCCAAGGCTCTTAGGTGGCTTTCGATGGTAACTCCTCGGGCAGCTCCTCAGAGGCAGGCACTGGGCCAGGGCCGGAGAACAGGGTGCTCAAGAAGGCTTGACCTGTCATGGGTGTGCCCTTTCCCCTCTCTGGGTCTCCGTTTCCTCTCCTGTAAAGCCAACCAAGGCAGGGGAATGCGTAGGGACAAGGAAGGGGCTGGAGATGAGGGGAGCCAGATGAGCTCTGGGGTTCTCCTTCCCCCAGAGCCACTTGGCCTGCGTCAGCCTGAGACTTGGCTGTGCCTGCCACCATTCTAGCCTCCCCTTCCCACTCTTCCCCACTGGCCCTGCTCCACAGCCACCCAGTCCACCCGGACTCCCAGAGTACATCTGCTCCATCGGGTACCCGAGACTGTCAATCTTTAGGGGGGAGGGCTGCTTCATGTTCTCCTTCAGAGCAGCTAATGGGTTTGAACCACTGGCCCAGGCCATTGGTTAACCGGCTGTTCCACCCCAGTTCCGGAAAAGGGCACTTCTTCCATTCTCCCCACCCTTCTCAACACAAAAAGGGACCCTCTCCCCTCACCAGAAACGGAGAGACGTCCTGTGTGCGCCTAAACCCTTTGCTTGGGTCCAAACCAAACCTCTGGGGAAGTAGTTTGAATAATTGAAAGACAAAACAAGATAAAAATCTATCTTCTATTTTGAATTACCCTATGTCGAGGTCGAGTACCTCGTATGCATTATCTCAATTAAGAGCCCCAAGGACACTTTACAGTGGACGTGGGCACCCTCTTAGTGCGCTGACCAGAAAACCGGGGATGCAGAAGATTAGGCAACTGGATTAGAGTGACCCAACCAGGGATTGATGACGTGCAGACGACCCCTGCTCCTCTTAGTTCTGCTCTCTGAAGGGGTGGGTGTCAAATGGGTCACCAGTGACCTTGGGGAACCCTGAAGTCCTCTTCCCCTCGACCCTTCAGGTTCGCGAACCCCTGCGTCCCCAACCGCGGCAGGCTTTGCAGAGATGCCTAGCGTCCGAAGCAAATAAATAACTGGACTCGAGGTGCATGGCCACTGCCGTGGCGCCAGCGACAAGGTCCCTGCACCCAACGCCCAGAGAAAGGCCGGCAAGTGCGACGTGAGGGTGCGCTGTGCCTTTCCGGGTGGCGACTTGGACATAGTGACCTGGGCCTGGGGCA